CGTTTTTTGTGCGCATTTCAGTGCGGAAAACACGTCGTGCACAAAAACCGTCGGTGTGTAGAGTTCGTTTGTCCATTATTCTCCTGCTTCTCCCGTCCCGTCTCGACCTAAATACGAAGGCACCCCTCCACCCCACGGCTTTCCACGTTGCGCTACGGCTCATCCGGCGCCGCAGCGTGTGCCACGCAGAAGCTCACGCCAGATCTCTTGGTGTACGCTAAGGCCCGTGGGGCTGTAAGTGGGGTGGCGTCGTCCCCCTCCCGTCCTCGGTCGTCAGTCCTCCTCCTCCTCATTCTCCTCCTCCTGCTCGTTCTCCTCGTCTTCCTCCTCCTCCTCCCTCCTATCTCCTCCCTCCTCCCTCCTGTGATCCGTGGACCGTGGCCCCCATTTTAGGCTGGAGACTAGCAAGAGCCCCACTTTCGGATATGGGGCATAGCAAGGACCCCAACGTTGACGACAATGCATTTTGGTCTGTCGATGCTGGGGCCTCCAGGTTCGACCCGTGACCGTGTGTCACGTACTGGGCGAGCGGAGTGTTGATGCCCGCGTAATCCGGGCGGCCTGGGCAGGGAGCAGGGGCAAGAGATCTGAAAATCCTTGCGCGGGAGCGTTTGCAAATCGGGGGCGTGCCGATCATGGAAAAAGACGCATGCGTGCCTCCGCGCTGACCACGATCCAATCTCAGTCGCGGGGGAGCGAGCGAACATAGGCAGGAAAGGTGCCGAGTATGCTCGACGCGTGTGCATTTAATTGTTGGTACGAGAAACGCTGCGCCGGAGGCGGGCGGTCTGCTAACACGAATCTATAATTGTAGGATCGATGTCCATGTGTTCGAATGCGCTTCCCGTCGTCCACAGGCTCGGCGGCCCCGTGCGGCCGGCGTGACGGGCCGTGGTTCCACTGCCCGGGCAGCCCTGCAGCCACTGGCAATTGTGTTGAGTTTTACCCGTAAGCGTGGACTTGGGGCAGGTAGCACGCACGAGTCTCCCAATGCTTTGCACTGGGCGAAGGGGTGGGAGGCCCTCGCTGTTTAAGTCAATGAGCAGTTCTTGCAGCGCTCCCGCGCCAATCGCGAGAGCGCTGGGCGGAGGTCGACCAGGGCGTGCTTCCATTCCAACCATTCCTGCACGAACTGGGGCGATTTGCCCAGCGCGTAGGCGTGCAGCTCCGATTTGAGCTGCTGCACCTCCAGCTTGAGCTGCGCTTTCTTACTGTCCCCTTGCGGCGGGGCTACGCCGCCTGCGCGCGTGGCACTGGCGGAAAGAACGCCGCCGGCGCCAGCGCTGGGGGCGCTTTCCGCGTCCGCAGCGGCCGCCTGGGACTCCCTGTTTGCGGGCTGGCCAAGCGGGGACCCGGCGCCAGAAGTTGCCCAGCCGAATTTTTCGGGGCCGTCCGCCAACGCCATCGCGGGGCGTTTCAGGCCAGACCCCGCGGGAAGGATTCCCGCGAGATCCGCTGAAGACAGCACCTCTGGGACCATGATCGGAAACTGGAACACACACACATACATATATATATATATTATATATATATATATATATATATATATATATATATATATATATATATATATATATAAGTATTACCAGTTGCGGGCTATTTTTCAATCCCAGGACAGGGTGGCGTGGTGTATACTCCATCGATCCGTTCTCCAGGGAAACAACGAACATGTACATCAGGATTCGCTTTCCTGTGCAAATTTCAGTGCAGGGCGGGAAAAGCGTCGGTGTATAGAGTTCGGTTCCCGACATGATGGCTTGGCCCACGAATTTGAAGCCGTCCGCGGCGCGGGGTCGGCGACCGCCCCGACCGTGGAAGGCCGCGACGGCGCCTGCGCCACACGTGAGACCTTTCCCAGAAGCTGCACCCTTCCCCAGAAGCCTCCTGCCCCGAGAGCACAGCTCCCCTGGAAAGTATACGAGGAAACGAGGGTGGGGTACCAAGGTATCATTAGGCGTTGCAGTAGTCTACTTATCGCCTGGCGGGCGCGTGCTCTTAGCCCTTGGGGGCCGTCTTCTGTTCTTTTGGCCCTTCCTGGTCTGCTGCGCCCGCCAGGTTAATTTGTTTTCGTTCCGCCAAATCGGCGTTTTGTTTATTTCACCCAGTAACGCTCCAGGCTGCCGCACCAAGTTTGCGCAGCGTCAAAAAGGGGCCAGAATAAACCAAACATGTGTCAACGATGCTGCCGTACACCCTCCCGTCCTAAGTCCCGTTCTCTCTCTCGTCCCTGCAGGCATTCTTTGTCATTGCGCGAAGCCCCCCCCCCTCTGAAAGACGAACGCCCCATGGGCCCGCAGTTCAGGCGGAAACTCGTGTTTGAAAGACGTTATTACCCTCCGTCCTTCGAGCGGATCGCGTTTGCCATCATGCCGCCCCATTTGAGCGAAGGGGAGGCTTGCCTCCTGGCGGAGAGGCGCGGGGCGACTTTGCCCCAATATTGTCTTCCACAACGCCATTGCTGTGAGCTCGGTCGAGAAGGGGCGGCCACAGCGAGCGAACTCCTTGAAGGTTCCCATCGTTCCGTTGAGCTCCTCCTTCAGCCACCAGCGGGAGGGCTCCCTGCTGCAGGATTTCTGGAGCCAGCGTTCTGGATGCCTGGGCAACGCTGAAAGCTTGTTTGTTAGCATCGTCTCGGAGTCGCTATTGCCAGGAAGGGAGAAACAAACATAGGACGCACGGTTGCAAACAGTCGCATTAAGCAGCGGTCCAGAGCCAGACCCCCCCTCCCCCCCTTCCGCCCAGTGTCGAAACGCCGAAGAAGACAACGCTCACTGTGTGCTTACGGGGTCGAGTTCCGGGAAGTGCCCAGCGACAGCCCCGCTTTGAACAGGTGCCGCCGCCCTCTGTCCGTGCGATCGTTAGACGACGTTCGGCTTCTAGTCGTAATTCTTGACGCTTCGCTGGTCCCCACCAGCCCATCCAGAAACGATGCCAACGCGAGTTGCCCTGGTCAGGGATGTGTAGGAGCAGGCAACGGAACATGAAGGGGGGCAGCCGCCAAACCGAAGAACAGCCTGAGCAGGGCCAGGAGTGGGCCATAAATGCCATCGCGCATCTTGCGACATGGGATATGTTGCGTAACTGACTCGGGCCATCTTGGTATCCTCTTGGGGCCATTTTGGAGGCGTTTGGGGCTCTCATGGGGCAAACTCGGGGGCCATGGGGCCATCTCGGGAGCCCTTCTGGGGGGGGGGCTCTTGGGGTAATCTTGGAGGCAACCGATGGAAGAAAGGGGGGTTCTTCATGCCAGCCCCGCCGTCGGAGTCAGAAGCGTCACCTCTTGGAGCCCTCTTGGAGGTCTCTTGGGGCGCTCTTGGGGAGCTCTCGTGCACTCTTGGGGCCGTCTTGGAGCACTCTTGGGGCTGTTTCTGGCGAGCTTGGAGCCATCGTGAGGCCTCCGAAGCCGATCGGAAGTCAACAGGCGAGAAGGTACACATCATTATAGGTCCTTAGGTTTCGGAAGGATTTCGGCATCTCGGGGGCGTCCTTGTGTGGCCTGGAGGCCGCTTGAAGTTGTCTTGGTGAGCTTGTGAGGCCTCATGGTGGCATGCTGGGGACCATCTTGAGCCATCTTGGGATCTCTTCAGCCATCTTGGAGGTCATCTTGGGCTTTTTGGGGCGGTCCGCAGGCCATCTTTGGCCACCTTGGACGCTCTATCGCGTCGCGGCATCCTCTGTCGTGACCAAGGAAGGGGGCAGAGGGAGAGGTAAACCTTTCCTTGAAGGGGAAACAGAGGTTGAACAAACTAACTGGCTAAAATGCCTACGCTCAGAGGCCTGGTGGGATTAGAAGGAATTCTTAAGCGATAGCTTCGTTTTGAGAAGGACTCGCCCTCCATCCGTGCCACTGCTGTGTACTTTTTGTACGAGTGGTAGTACATGTTGAGGAAGTTTCTGGCGAGAGCCCAATGATGACAAGGAGCCACCCTGCATCCGTCTAATTGTCGCATTTGCACATGTTTGTAGCTATGGTAGCAAACATCCACGGGTTCTCAGGCGAGAGCTATATTGGAAAAGGAGCAGCCTTCCATCCGTGTGACGGCTTGGATTTCTTATGACGAGTAGGCGCCGCGCCAAGGCGACAGTCCCATTTTGAAGTTGTGGCACCCTCCATGTGTGGTGACAAGTCTTGCGAAGGTCTTAGGCGAGAGTCCCATGTTGACAAGGAGCCGCCCTCCATTCTTGTGGCCGTTGCACATTATTTTTGCTCTTGTGCTGTAAATGTTGAGTAAGTCCCAAGCGCGAAACCGCCATCCATCCGTGTAGCCGTTGCGCAATTCTGCGCACGTGGTGGTGTTCAGAGGGAATGCTCAGACGAGAGCCCTGTTTTGAAAAGGAGCCGCTCCCCATCTCTGGAAACGTTGGAAGCTTAGCATTCACGGCGAGTGTGCGCGGCGCCGAGGCGACAGCCCCATTTTGAAAACCGCTCGCCTCTCAGATTCGCAACCGATTGCAGCTTTTTAGGAGAGTGCGTGCGGCGCCAGAGCGAGAGTCAATTGTTGAAAGCGGCTCGCCCTCGGATCATCACTTGTGAGGACGCCTCCGGCGAAATCCGCCCAGGCATCAGGCGGAGTGATATTCGCGAGCCGTCCGCGTGCCTCTGTGCCTGCCTGTCCGTCGGTGGGCGCCCCCGTGCGCATGAACTGCCGTGCTCCGCCTCGTGCGCCTCCGGGGCCTCCCTGCACGCCTCCTTCTCCCTTCGCCCTCCCTCTCGCGCCCCAGCAGCCGCGACCACGGGGAGGATGCTATTGCTGGGCATGGATCTGGTTTCAGGATGTAGCTGGGATTGGAGGGCCTGGGCTGTGCTGCGCCTTTTTGTGTTTTCTCGAGGGGTGGTGCCCGCCTACCCTCCCCACCCTCCCCTCCCGCCTTGCCCTCCCCCCCTCCCCTCCTTCCCTCCGCTCCCTCCCTCCCGCACTGCCTCCCCCCCTCTCCCCCTCTCCCCCCCCCCCCTCCCTCACCGTCCTCTGCCCCTCCCTCCCTCTTCTCCCCCTCGAGAGGCGAGGGTGGCGCTCGAGGCGCTGGCGCCCGGCACCGTCGCGCTGCTGGAGCAAGGCTGGCCCCGCGGGGCCGGCGGGTGCGGGCGCTCCCACTGCCGAGGGGGTCTGGGCAATGGGGGGGGGGGAACCGGGGACGGGGACTGGAGGGGTGGGGGGGAGCGGAGAGCGAGGGAGAGGGCAGGGAGAGAGAGGGCAGGGCGGGGGCCTTTGTTGTGGGCCTTCAGGTGTGGGGGGGTCCAGCATGATTGTAACGCAGGAGTTCTTAGGCCCAGGGCCAGCGCTTGGCAAACATGGGATCACTCCTTCGGAGTGCGTTCGGGCCGCGAGGACAAGCATTCGCTAAGGTCCCCTGCATTCGCGTAGTGTTGGACCCCCCGTTCCGTGGAAGCCGACAGAGCAAAGTATGGAACACCTCACTTTCTTCTCCCCCTCGTCCCACTCCACCCTGGCGGCAGCCTATCCGCTCCCTCTCCCTCTCCCTCCATCCACTCCATTCCCATCCCTGACCCCTCTCCATTCCCATCCCCTCCTCCGCCGCTCTCACCTGCCCTTCTCATGCCTTGCCTCCCTCCCTGCCTGCCCTACCCTGCTCCTTTCCTTCCTCACCTCCTCCGATTCGTTCCTCTGGCGAAAACGCCTTTCCGAAAGTTTCCAACAATCCCCCCCGTGGCCCCCCTCTCTCCTGGCGACCGCGACTGCCCCACGCGTTTGGTCTCCCTCCCCCCGCGCTCGCGCCCCTTCCCCAACGCCTGCCCCCGCCCACGCTCGCGCCCCGCGCGTAAAAGCGTTAACGAACATTGAATTCCCCAGTGGCGATTCCTAAACGCGGCCTCTTGGGCCACCTTTTGCCATCTTTGTCCATCTTGGCGCCATCTTGGGCCGCCTTAGTGCTATATTGGCAATCTTGGAGGCCGTCTTAGAGACCATCCTGGTCATCTCGGAGGCCATCTTGTCCGTCATGGGGGCCACCCGGAGACCTTCTTGAGCGCCTGGGAGGCGGAGAAAACACCATTGTGGAATTTTCGTGTGGGTGACCGGATCGGCCGAGACCCCATTGGGAATCTTTTGGTAACGTTGAAACACTTAAAACGTTCAGCATTCCAGGACCCCCTGTGCACAGGAGGCGGCGGGATCGAAGACGCCTACGGCGAATCACCTCCGCCCCCTGCCTTTTGGAATCGCCCATGTGGCCGGCGCTGTTGCAAGAGCTCTGCCAATCTATCGGGCCATGTGATCCCCCAGCCGTTGTAGAAACTCTTCGGGGGACACTTGGGGGGGAGGACTGGGAAGATCAGGAGGAGGATGGGGAGGAGGAGGAGGAGGAGAAGGAGGAGATCCGTAGCCATTTTGGCTCAAGCCATTTTGGCTCAAGTAAACCATTTCTCGAGGTGGCTTACAGCGAGCTAAGCGCACGGGGGAGGCACCCCCGCGAGTGAACCCGCTGCTTTTCTACGGTATCACTTCTTTCTCATACTCAGTGCATCCCTGTCCCTTTTCGCTCCACTGATGGCCCGCAATGTCGGCGGCAAGGCTTGGTCTACCACGTGGACCTGCTGCAACAAGCATTGCGGCTTCCCTCGCAACTTTCCATGGAGGACCACGTGCTGGGCGTGCGGGGCGGCCAAGCCTGCGGGCCCTGCTGATCGCCAGCCTCGTCCTCCCTCTGGTGCTTGGGTACGTCCTCCTCGCCTTCAGCCGCAAGGAGGTGCTGCTGGTGGAGCTGGAGGTGGCGGTGGCGACAAGCTCACCCCAGAGCGCAAGGCCGCGCTGCTTGCCATGTCGGAGGAGCATTTCGAGGCCTGCAGCATCTGGTTGTCGCCAGGTCAGAAGAGCCATCTTCAAGGGCTTCGCGCGGCGCAGCAGGGCGATCCGCTTGCTGTCAGTCGCCAAGCGAAGCAGCAACATGACTCTCTCAAAGACAAAGTGCAGAAGGCGAAGCACGCATGGGAACGCTCTCAGGAAGTGCTGTCCAAACAGCTGCGCAAGACCGCCGAGCTGCACTCGAAGTTCAAGGAGCTCGAGGCCCAGGAGATCGAGGCAGCACGCAAGGCCGCCAACGCCTACACCGAGCTGGGGAGAGCAGGCCGTCCTGAACCTGCTGACCCTGCTGCTCTTCTCGTGGCGCAGCTTTCTGAGTTGGGCGTCGATCCTGCTGTCGTGGACACTACCAAGAATGTGGCCGAAGCGCACCACAAAGCTAAAGAAGAAGAGGAGAAGCGAGAGGCAGCTCAGGCAGCTGAACGTCAGGCTGCCCAAGCTCCTCCTGCTGGCGAGTCTGCTCCGGATGCCGCTGGAGGAGATGATGACGACGTCGACATGGACGGGGCCGTCAACTTCCTCAAGGGCGGCGACTGGCTGGACAAGTTGGTCTCTAGTGAAGGTGGCGTCTCCCGAACGCAGCTGGAGGCTGCGCTCGACGATGCTGCATCCGCATACAAGAAATCACGGACGGGGTAGCCACAGCGCTCCTCGCCACGGGCCGAAGGCCCCAAGTTTTTGGAGAATTATCTCTGCCAATGTCACTGATCGCTCTGGGCTTGACATTTTCTTCTCCTCCCCTTCCGTGTTGCAGGCTCATCTTGTCGGTGTGCAGGAGACGCGGGTGGTCGAGGTTGAAGCCATGGAGCACAAACTCAGGAGACAAGGGTGGAGAGGTAAGTATTCATCCGCTGTGGCCACGAGTGGTGGTGGCTTGTCGGGTGGTACTCTTCTTGCTGTTCCAAAGCATGTGGGCTTGGCGCAGGTTGAATCTATTCCTATTGCGTTGCAGAAGGGGAGGGCCATGATTATGCATGTGGGGGGGACTCTTTCCTGGAGGTTTCCTCGCGTGTACTCTCTATCTGCACAATTCCATCGGTCTTGCCCCCGCCAACTGGGACCTCCTCTGTCGGTTGGGGGCGCAGCCCAAGATGGCTGACATGCCTTATATCGTCATGGGCGATTTTAACTTGGAGCCTGATGTGCTGCAGCACTCGGGCTGGATTGATGCCGTTGATGGTGTTGCGATCCATGCGTCTGCTGGCACCTGCACTCCTGCTAGTCGTGTTATAGATTTCTTTCTGGCGTCGCAGGCGCTGTCCTCGGTCGCCAAGGTGTCGCTGGTGAACGACGTTGCCATCGCGCCTCGCACGCCTGTTCAGTTGAGTGTTCGTAGCCTCTCCAAGCTCCCGCAGGTCAGGATGGCCAAGGTGCCTCGCAGGTTTCCTCGCGAGTTGCCCATTGGTTGTCGTCAAGAACCGTGTCCTGCCAGGTGGGGGCAAGCTGCCCGCGCCATGGAAGGTTCTTCTCTGAGTACCTCCTGGAAAGCTTTTGCTTCGGCCGCTGAATTGGAGTGGATTGAAGTCTTTCAGATTCTTCAGGCTTGCGCCGCATCCGCCGACCCCTTATGAAGAATCGCGCAGTGGTCTGGTCGCCTCTTTGGGTGGTCTGAGGCCCCTGGGCCATTCTGGGGGCATTCTTGGGTTGTCTTGGGGCCCCTTAGGCCGTCCTGTGGCAGTATTGGGCTGTCTTGGGGCTCTCTTGGGCTGTCATCGGCCTCTCTTGGGCTGTCATGGGGCGCTCTGGGCGTTCTTTTCGGCCGTCTTGGCCGTCGCCATCTGTTGCCGAGGACTGTGGTATGCCCTTGGTGACCTCAGAACTGCTTTGCGGTGTCTTTTGGAACCGTCAGGGGCGGCCGTGGGGTGACCTTCAATCGTGTCAGGCCATTGTGAAGCTATCTTGGCCCTTCCTGACCTTAAGCGGAACCGTCTCGGCGTCCTCTGAGGCTGTTTTGGCGCTCCATGAACCTCTCGGGAGCCGTCCTGGAGCTCTCGCGGGTCGCCCCGTCGCCTGGTGGGCCCTCTTGGCGCGACCTGGGAGCGATCTGGGGGATTTCGGGGTCAGGTGGATCCGGCGGGGCCTTCGGCCAGGGCCCGAGGGCGGGTAATCGCGGGCGCGAGGCATCTGAGAGCAGACCAAACCAAGCACTATTACCAGACGGGCGCAGGCCAGAGGCCAGTGAAATGCCGCGACTGCGACGCGCATCGCAAGCGCTCGCGGGTGTTCAGGTGTTCCGCGTGCCCGACAGAAGCAGATGGAAGGGGCCTGGAGTTCACGGACAGGACGCATCTGGCAGATAAGCAAGTGGAGCACTTCTTCGCGGAGGGTTCGGACCATCGCCCAGTCCTGTGCCGCGCGTGCCAGGAAGAACGCAGTCAGTCGCGTGTGCTCACGTGCTCCGCGTGCCCGAAAGAAGCAGATGGGGAAGAGCGAGAATTCACGGACAGGACGCATCTGACAGATAAGCAAGTGAACGCCTTCTTCAAGAAGGGTTCGGCCCATCGCTCGGTGGTGTGCCGAGCGTGCCACGAGCAAAGGCAGATGGCGAAGAAGTTGGAATGCTCCGCGTGTCCCGTGAAAAAGGACGGATCAAAGCCAACGTTCACTGACGGCGGCCATCTCTCGAAAGATCAGGAGAAGAATTATTTCCACCGAGGCGTTCTGGTGGTTTGCGCCAAGTGCTATCAGGCGGGACGGGCGCCTCGAAGAGACCCGCCGAAACGCCCTGCGGAAGCAAGTGACGAGCACGGCGGGAAGCAACGCAAGTTGCGAGGAATCTGACCGCGAGACGCGCGCGCGCGCCGTCTTCGGGGCTCTCTTGGGCCGTCCTCGGCCCCTCTTGACCCGTCTTGGCGCCCTCTTGGGCTGTCGCGGGGCCCTCGTGGAGGCTTCTTGGACCGTCTTGGTGCGGTCTTGGGGGGCTCTGGGGCCGCCCGGGAGCGGGGGGCGCCCCAAAAGGCGCACGTGCGAGAAACATATGCGTTTTACGAAGGGAACGGGCGTTTTTGTGCGTCTAGAGGCCCTCTTGTGGTGCATCGTGGATGCCTCTTGGGGCGTCTTGGGGGCCTCTGTAGCCGTCTGGAGGTCGTCGTCAATGTTTTTGATCGCTCTTGGACCGTCGGGGACCATGTGGAGCTCTCCTCGAGGCCACTCGGGGCGCTCCTGGAGCGCTGTCGGGGCCGTTTTCTGAGCCCTTTTGGGCCGTCTTGGACGTCTGTTGGCCCGTCTTGGGGCCCT